GTACGTCGTCACAGCTGTCTTGATGTCGCGCTTGAATGTGCGAAAGATTGCGACGTCCAACGGCTGAAGCAAATGCGTCGCGTTTGCAGGTAAGTAGACCAACACAATACCATACGCTTCGCAGATCATCTCACTGTCTACGCCGTGATGAGAAGAGCAATTGTCTAGGACAAGTACGGCAGGTCTAGCGGCACGGCAGCGAAGCTTCCACTCTCCGAAGGTAATCAGCCAGTTGTTGAAGATCGCTGAGTTCATGAACGCTTTAGGAGCCGTGGTCACAAGCGCGTCATCGACAGGACACTCGTCCAAGATAGTACTCTCGCAGGACTGTCCAGGGAGAATAAACGCCGGGGGAACGAGAGTGCCGTCGGATGCAGCAGCCACGACAATGGTGAGGTGGTACGGTGGGGTATTTTCTTCATACCAAGCGTTCTTTGACCCGCGAATGGCGACGACTTTCTTGTTTTGGGACTTTGTCTTGAAGCTCGTTTCGTCCATGTTGTAGACATCTGCCGCGGTGCACGAGAATCCCAGAGTGCCTTTGATTAGCGCGTTAAAGTAATGTATTATACCTTCTTTGTTAACTGCGTTGCGACTCTTTGACAGCTTCTGAGCCACGCGGTCAGCAATGATAGGGTTGCGTACACAAAACTTATGGTACCATCCTCGAGTAACGTTCCGTGGTACGCCATGGTATACAGCCAATATCGAGTTCGCCTTGTGGATGACTTCCCCTCGCTCAACCGGCATTCCACGACGTTGCATCGCAGCGATCCAAGCAACAAGGTCCTGCTCAATCGATGAGGGGAGAGCTTGGTGCGGCCCTCGCTTGTTGATGGAAATGGCGCCAGTGTCCTTCTTCATCTTGATGTAGTGGAACAACGTGGCCCTGGAGACAGCAGAGCTCCGGACGACAGCCGCTTTGGACTCACCAGCTTCGACGCGCCGAATCGCATCAAGGATTTGATGATACGTGGCGGGCATGTTTCAAAATGGGAAAGTCAAAAGTCAATGAGTATTTTTATTCAATTGGCGCGAAAAAATTGCGGGAAATATCGTCACTCGAGTTTGTATATAATTACAACCACGAATATTATCATATCCAATCAAATTCACTCAACTCAAAATGCAGAAGTACTATTGGTGAAAACTCAAACCGTCCAGGAATTAGGTGCCGTCTAGTTAATCGGTGCACTACCTTACTCATGTTGCATTTTCATGACGTGCACCTCAACTTTACTTGTGCAAACACACCACCACTTTGGTTAGTAGTACTAGTAGTATATACTAGATACTGTAACGTTTCGTATTTGTTTCGTGAACCACCAAGTAATAGTAGTTAGTCGAGAAAGTGAAAGTTAATGTGACCAAAATAAAATATTTTTCGTGACTAGAGGACACGTAGAATGAATATATTCACTTCAATAAGACGTGAAAAGGAGTTTTAGGGTCTGGTTGAAGTAAAATCCACCTGATTTTTTTTCGACGACTTTTTGGGTGAGAAAAAGTTGGTGCTGGTTAAAGTAATCCGGTAAAATAATAAGTGGTCAATGTAAAATGTGCCCGGATAGTAGTGGTGTTTCATAGCCAATCACTCATAATGACGGAGCTTGGGCAACTAGAAGTGGCTGCAAAAGACAGCCCGACAGCGAAGAAGCCAAGGGTATCTAAAACGAATTTGGTCAAATGTGCACCTGCTGACGCGCAAGTTACGCTTGTACCGCCCATCTCCAGGGCAGGCTTCGACGATGTGACGTAGAAGTCTAATGAGCTAAAAACTCTACGCGTCCATTCGCAAACTGCACAGGGCCACAGTAGTTGGGAGAAAAGATCTGTTCCAGACACATGTGGCTCAACTCGAGCAAATTAGTCTTGGTCATATGTTCTGGGCTCGTCCACTCGAATTCCGGTGGTAGCCACGTCGGCCGATTGATCCAATCCACATTTGAGCCGTTGGTGGCTTCCGACACCAATCGACGTGTTTGCTAGTAGTACATTATACACAAACTCGGTGTCATGACAACAACAATGATAATCAATACCTGGAGTAATCCGCGAACGGGCAGTGACTCGAGCTACATCAGGATATCCTTTGCGTTTCTTGGTTTGTCGAACAGATCTTGCATGGACTGAGCAACGCTTTCGAAAACGGAGCCGGTGACAAAGTACCGCTCTTGAGGGCGCTCCACACGAACAAAGGTCTTTTCAGGCCTGTGTCCATTAACATGCACGAGCTATTCATTGTTAAATACATATCCTCAGTATGACGAAGGATATCCAAGGTACTAACCGTGCAGGTGCCTGCAACGAATTCCTCCAAAGCCTTGATTCGTGAAATTGTCCGAGTGTGAGGCGCCTTCTTCTGCGTGAGGAATTGCGCGCGAGGGAGGGCTTTAACGACTTGGTGAATGGGCATCGGAAAGGGGACTTTATCTATGTGCATCATGTACGGATTTGGGTGAATGTAGTAGGTTCACTTACGTTGGTGCATACTAATATGCGCACCCGCCCAACCAAATTGTGCACATTCGTCTAGTAGTGCCCGAATGACGGCGTGAACTGGGCTCCCCGACGGAAACCAGTCTTGAATAGTGGTTGTTGCGAATGAAGATGCTATTGAAAACAAGTAGTTAGTCGAAACATGATGTTTGTAGGTACCTTGTGCAGATGGGGTGAGCAAAGTCCAGAAAACCCATAGAACAACATGCGCAGTACTAGACGATGCAAAGGTTTTTGCAATGTCCAGGGTGCGGGGAAAGTTTTGAAGTATTGTTTGGTCCAGGTTAGAAGCATTGCAAAGTTTGGATACTGTTTCAACTGCACTTTGGCTCTTCTGGCAACGCGATTGAGAGGTAACCACGTTGTACAAGTGCTTGTGTTCGTTTTTCCCGATGTTTGCCCGGTCGGTGTCTCGGGGTTGAGTTCTTCGTTTGCATGCGCTATGTATCATAAGAATTTAAGTATAAACATGAATATTCGGTTACAGTTTGATGGGTTGTGGGGGCAATTTGCATCAGCAAAAGTTGATGATGGTGCTGATGCGGCTGCCCCCCGGGGATCTTCGTCTTCATTAGCAAGCCACCGAACATTGCCATAAAGACCCTCGTGACTTTGTTCCTTTGTTCGGGGAAGGTCGAGGCACCAGAACTGCCTATCTAGTGTGTTAAAAGGGGTCACGATTGACTTGAGTACCTTGATGCAATCCTTTGCGATGTGGTTGCTCGTGTACTGCGGTCTACCATTCCATATGGATCCGTTTCCATTGAAGCCACTCGACGGGGGCATGTTGAGGGAAGTCTTCAAGCCCCTCGCGGGACGGGTAATGATGGCGGACCACCATCGTACATTTGAGTGCGCCATCGGTCGACCAAGGTTGCCTTCGAGGTACCACTGTTGGCTCCAACGTTGGCCCAGCGGAAGTGGGAGTTGATTGAGTGCTTCAACGTCCGCAGCTCGCCAAATAAAGCCTCAACACTCTGGAAGTCGCCGTCGGCCACACGCATTAGCTTTCGCGTGGCGGTCTTCATAGTGGTCACGTTAGACACACCATACTTCTTCTCGATCTCTGCCCAGAGACGGTAGATTGGTTCCTTTTCAGAGTACGACTTCTTCATTTGCTGGACAAATTGATCCGGCACAACCTTGCTCAATAAAGTGCGGATTTGTTGCACTTGCATAGTACGGTAGTACTGATGCCACTTCGCGCGCTTCTCGTCGGGGTCGGTCGCAACTGGTGGATCGCCTTGCAGCCAGTCCTCGAATTTGATGGTTGGCTCCGGGCGGTCAGGGGTGGTCGACGCGAGCCATTGGCCTTGCAGTGCGACAGTCATCTCTTTAAGGTGCGAAACGAACTTAGCGGTCCACACGCGAAACTTGTCTTTCTTCCCGTTGAACACGAGCAAATTAATGCCGACAGTGTCCTTGGGGTTCGCAGCCATGGTGTACTTGAAATGTTGAATAGGCAGGGGGGTGGGGGCAGGGGGTAGAACACGCACACAAAGGTAGAGCTCAGTTCGAGGTAAAACCAGGAATGAAAGCCAAGGCTACATCATTCCAAACCCCTCACATCCTTGCCCAGCAGCGCACACAACCACACAAAACATAAGCTATGAAGACCTGGCATAAGCCTTGGTCTTCATATCGCATAACACTGCCTCAATGTTCCTACCACCATACATTCCATCTACAGTTTGATTTTACAAGTGGTAGAGCCTCTTGACTTCCAGCTACATATGGAGACACTTTGCATGCGTGGTATATTCTGACACTTGCCAGGGGAACAAGTTTTGTATCCTGATAGCTCATGTCTAACAAGATCGCAACTAAATCGTCCACGCGGAGTTTGAGGTTGCCGTAGCGAGCTCGAAAGGCATCTTCCATTGGCTCCAATGCAATGAAATCGCTCAATGGAGATTTTCACGCAAGCCAGTCATTTCATTTTAAATTACGAATACACGCTTCACAAGTTGATACTATGCATTAATATAAATTGGTGCACGAAAAGAGTACATGTACTCAGGGGGGATTTTCATGCAAGCAAGTCATTTCATTTTAATTCAGGAGTACACGCTTCCCATGTTGAAACGACGCTTTAAAATAATTTGGCGCACGAAAAGTGTGGCGTTTGTCACAAAATGAAGACAATTCTACTTTTATAACGAAACTGGTTGCTACATACACTGAGCCATATGTGCAAGCTCAAGTCATGATATTATTTCGTTGTGTATGTGTTTGTCCAAAATCAAATTATTGCACACTATCTGCAAGTAAGTTAAACATATTTTTTTACGCCATGTGAAACAATCCAATGGCAGGCAACCTTCCGAGACATCGATGTCAAACAACAGCAAAGCATACAATATTCAAGTACAAGAGTTCGTAGAGCTTGCTCGACCCCTCGTTCATCCTTCGATAGCTTGCAACATGTACTTCAGTTCTTGCTCGTATCTGTGCCTTGCACCTACTGCTGCTGTACCTAACGGCGTAGAGTCACTTTCGAAAACAGCAGCAACTGCACAGATTGCTCCAACCATGCAGTGTCGAAGCTGTACATCGCAAGCGAAACTCCGCCGATGTCCTCAGAGCATTTGTACTTCTTGTCCTTGCGAATGTCGAGCACACTCCCGGCAGCGACGGCTACGTTTCAATCGCAACGCTCGCGCCACCTTCGTTGCTGACTCCATCCAGTTCTTGTCCACCGAAATTGCGCACAATGCCTTGTCTACCTCGTGGCAGCACACAAACGCATGCATGCGCCCACCCACAGGCACGCGGTGGTGACAACTCATTTGACTTTGGGCTACACGGGGTTGACGAACGTCCCACCGAGTCTACTACCGCCGGGGCATCATCAATGGAGCATTCTATCGCTTGGACGCCTATGGAGCCCCTCGGCATCGCTTTCGCTACTCGTTATGCTAACTTAATCTTGGCAATGGATGCGCTTGTTGTTCTTTCTCCTGGAAAGCAGTACTGCCTTCCCACTGCCCGTCCAACCATGTCGGAACTCAGCTTCGACAATCGTAGTGCCCATGTATACTCCATGTTGGCAACATTCAGCACCTCCACGGTACTCTTGCACTACTGCTCAGTATGCCCTACCTCCACGAACAAACTCACGAAAGAACTCATGGTGGGCGCCACGACTTCGGCGCACCGCACCTACCATGACTTTTCCATCCAATGCGATGACATCGATTGCTTCCACGTTGAAGCACTGAAAATCTTGACAGTTAATGTCCCTCCTCCGCCGCGAGGAACAGACTTGTCGACAGTGTTGGACATCCCACCTGGGATTCAGTTCGGGGTTACGTTTACTGGGCGGCGCAGCGAGCTGTACGTATCAGTAGGAAGCACCGATGAGCCCACCAACCCCGCATTACACCTCTTGCGTACCGATAACGATTGGCAGTGCTTGCAGTGCGTACGCTCCAACGAGCAGGGGTCGAAAATATGCATATTATATGTATGTTTTAGCTACTCAGTGCATACATAATGCGTAATCGTTGCAAAAGACTGAAATACATTATGCATATTATGCAATATATGCGCATTAATGCACATATTTTTACTCAAGCGTTTCGTGGACAGTCGATACGTCCCAGTAGCTGCGGTTGCACTTAAGGAAGAGGGTCGCCTAAATCATGATTGGATGCAGTGAAAAACGGTCGATGCCAATCAAAGCACGAGCCATGCTGAAAAGACGCTCAGCTATGTTTGACGTTGGGGTGACAGCATCAAGGAGGACATAGGTGTCATTCTCGTCAGCCAGGCGCACACGTTTCAACGCAAATGCAGCATCTTCGTCCGAGGCATCGTCTGCGCCGTAATTGCTTCGCAGTGCAGCAACGGCCAACTTCTCTGGCCGAGTGAGCGTGCGACCACGTTGAAGCTTCGTGACGGCATTTTCAAAATTGGGTTGCCAACAATATTTGCAGACCCACCTAACATATTCTAAGTGTACTAGATTTATTTCATATATACAACTCAAGATATTTTGTACCAATGTAATGCTCAAAGCTGGGGAAGTCAAGGACTAGAGCATCGAAGAGAGTTCGAACCTCCCACATTGTAGCGTCGGTAGACTGCACTCGCTTTGACACGGATTCTACCTTCTTCAAATCTTCCAGCAGACATTTCAACTTCTTCGTTTCACCAAGAGTTGGTAGAATTTCCAAAATAGTGTCGTCCTCGTGGTCGAGATGTTCTCGAAGCTTGAAAAATCGCTGAAGCATGGCAAACGTTGAACTCCAACGAGTGTCTTGGCGGAGAATTGGTCGTAGTTCTGTACGAAACCTACGGAATTAATATAGAATTTAGAAATTGAAAATATAATTGAAAAGAAATATGGTATGTTATATTAAATTGTATTAAACAATAAAATAGACTTACAGGAGCTTAGACGCCTGGTTCAGTGTTCGCAGTTTGATCATCAGCTGTTGTATCTTGGCGAGCTCGTCCTCATGCTGCTGGGTGTACGCCTTGACCGCAAGATTTAATCGGTGGCTGGGCAGCCAATCAGCAGCACGGACATAAGCTTGGCCAACTTTTTGTTGACGCTGCAGTTGTCACCCACCAAGAAGACACATTGCATGATGGTCTCCTTGAACATGGCCAAGACTGACTTGATTGCAGTGTAGTGCGTCTTCGCACTGTGGTCGTCATCCGGCTCGTGGATGATGGGCGCCAGCGACAGGCTGCACAAGGACTCCATCCTTTTCGTAAAGACCACAAGGTAGTGCTCGGAGTTATGTGTCCACCCGTCGAAAATAATGCCAAAACGATCCGGAATTTCTTTTGAGATCTTTTTTTCGACGACTTCAGTAAGCCGTAAAATGTTGTCGCGAAGGGTCACATGAGAAATTATAGGCAAATTCGTAAATCTAAAAAATATTGTTTGAGATGTGTATGATCAAAATCATAATCGGTACAGGACTACATATAGTATTCCATACGTTTGCGTGCAATACAATACAAAATATAGGAATAGTCAATACAAAAATTGGATTTATCAATTTCATAAAAAGTACAATAAGTACAAGACTTTACCGCCGAGTCGATGGCTTCTCACAGAACGTAAGCGGTAGTCCTTCTTCAACGATCCACGAGAACCAGCCGAATCGCCCTTTCACCCGGTCACTGACCCAAAGCCTGGTGTTAGTAGACTGCGCTGCTGCTGGTGCTTCGCGCATGAGTGTGGCGTAGTTGCTATGACTTGCCTTGACGTGTGCAAGTAGATTCGTGTAACCCCTGTCTTCTTGTTGGGTGTACGTGCGCTGGCAGAGGGTACAACGCCATCGCCCAGTCGTTTCGTCGTTCGATTCAGTGATAGCAGAAAAGAAGTACCTACTGCACTGCTCGGGCGAGAACTTGGGCGCGGTTGACTTGCCGGAGAGAAACGTGGACATCATCGAGCGTTTAAATGTGTAAATGATGATTAATAACATCCAACAGCGGCCTTACGAACTAACAGCTGTACTAATGACTGGCTACTAAGGAATGTGGTCGGCGATGTTATTATGTGACAAATTATTTTTATGCATTGTCAAATCGAGTCAAAATACATAATGCATATTTTTTCCAATTCTTGAAAATACATTATGCATAATACCCCTAAATATTTATGTTTTATGCATTATTTTATTTCGACCCCTGCCAACGAGTGCACACACAAGACCTCGTGGACTGTGTGTCGCAGCAATAACGGGAATGACTTGGCCTTGGACGTCGAATGGCTTATGGAAATTGTAGAGGAACCAATGGGTGTTGTTTGGAAAGCACCCTACGCACGTTTTCCGACAGACCAAGCTGGTCAGCTCTGCATTCGACAGCGGCGAGGTTTCGACGAGTTCAGTTCGTTTGACCCCGCCAAGTTCATGTCGATACAACTTATCCGTCCCCTCTGCACTTGTGGTCAGCTGTTGCACACAGCAATGGGATTGTGTACGGCGTGTTCTGCTCGGCGGCAATTGATATTCCTGTGTACGAGTGTGTGAACACGGATTGCAAAAACCAACTGCACTTTGACGGCATGTTCCATGGGTTCCTCCGCAGCGGAAGGAATACGTTCTGGGGCATGGATGCGGTGAATGTCACAGAAATCCAAACCGCTTTGGCAAACTCGGGTGTGACAGTTTGGCGTGCTCAAACGTCATTGATCGTATTGTCTGCCCAACCACGTGTCGGATGTACGAGTTGTGTGCGAACCAAGGTTTCCTCGACGGAACGAGCGATGCACCACATGAAGTTTTTGCAACGAATCGTTACGGATGGGGTGTCCGTGCAACAGCATGCTTATTGCCGCAAGCCTTTGTTTTGGAGTACGTCGGTGAGGTTGTTGGTCGCCGTGAGTTTGAGCGTCGATTCGCCGTCGTTACGCAAGCCCGAGGACACTACTATTTCATGGCCCTGCAACGCGACCATATTATCGACGCTCAATTCTTCGGAAACAACGCGCGCTTTATCAATCATTCTTGCCAGCCCAACTGTGTCGCCGAAGTATGGCAGAAGAACGGAATCCAGCGTGTGGCAATCGTAGCTGTCAAGGCTATCGAGCAATCACGTTCAATTACAGGTGGTCCCCTTCATTTCAAGAGTTTACGTGTTTGAGTGCTTCTCCTAAATGTCGCCACGCAGGCTTGGGCTGCTAATCATGTAGTCTAATTTTCGAATACATTTCCTCCTTATGTTTCATGTCATTTTGCACGCGCCAACTGCTCTTCATGTTGCCAACTTGCCCATTTCATTAAGTAGTACATGCAGCAAACACTTGCACGACTAGTAATATTATAAACTTTTCAAAGCATTGCTTTGATCGGCTCAGAAGCTAGTGCAATCTGCAATATATCCGATTATATATATTTCAAGTTTTCACGTAATAATAACATCAACAATCTGGGGTTAGTACTACTTACTACCTACCAGTAGTACTAGGTACTACGCAAAAAATATATTTAATAATATGATACTACTTTAACCTATTAATTTACGAAAGGTTATACGTTTGAACCATTTATCTTTCTTCACTGTTACCAAAGTATTTTTCCTTCGTTCTGCAACATTTGCAATCCATACAATAGTTAAACGACCCGCTTTTGCATCATTTTGCAGTCCAAAGGATCGAACAACGACGATTTTGCGATCATTGTATTCAACACTCAGCGCCTCGTCCCCCTTGTCCCAGTAACGCACCTACACTCAGTACCAGGACGGACTATCAAGAGCTTCGAGGTATTGGCGATATGATATACTATTATTAATACATACTACGTACGTAGCAGTATAATACTATAATAGTACTACTGTATACCATTAGTATATGAACAAACTATTTCGACTAGCACCTATATGAATGGTATCCACCCGATTTTAGATGAGTTCCTTACTACTGTAGTACTACTCACTATTAATAGTACTCCAGAGTACTACATAGTACATGAAGTAGTACTCAATTACTACGTAGTACTACGCAGTATACAGTACATGACACGTTTTGACTGTAGTACAACTACAGTTGTACTACTGTACGTTGCACATCTCGATTGATTCGAAAAAGTCACCCTAACCACTCTCACTACCTGACTTTTTCGACAGGCTTTTTGGCCAAAATATGCTGACTTGTTAATGGAATTCGCAAGGTGAGCTACCTTGCTCCTTTTTAATATCCAATCAGAGTCCATCATACCTTGTTTCTTCTTACACACGATTGGCTATAACACTTGCAGAAGATTACAATTTTGAACTTAGAATTTTGTAGAGCTTTGTGTGATGCTGCTCCAGAGAATTGTGCACTAATGAGTGCACTCCGACTATATCTTATGTGGTTCTCCCCTTACAGCTAACATTATGTTGTGCGCTCGGTTGGGTCGCAATGTCGTGGTGGCCCTGGTGGGCCAACGCGGTGGCGCAAGAGATCTTGGTAGCACCCATCACAAACGCAAAGTGCTAAAGCCGCCACTTCAGCACTTGCGAGGGTACCACCAAGACGTCTTGCGCCACCGCCCGCGCAACCACGTGATCACACCGGCAGGGATCTCCCTGCCGGTGGTGTACGGCACCAACATGGGCTGGATGGTGGAATGTTGGATGACCACATTCATTGGGTTACAGGGAACTTCAGAATGCAAGGCCTACGAAGAAAGCAAACGTTGCACTCCTAAATTGTCCAATAGAATTGGGTTGTGAAAATAACGGTACATGATTGGTGGATATTTTTATTCACAGTAGAAATCACATTTTTTTAAATACGAATCAATTTTTATTGCTTCAGTCAACTTACATTTCATAAGGGCCTGGTCTGTGAAAAATTGTTCCTGCTTTCAGCCATTCCTGCTTTGTACGGATAAATTTTATTCGGATAGTGCCCAATTACCTGGTCTGGGAAGCCATTCCTGCTTTTGGTGTTCCTGCTTTGAATGGTTGCGAGTGACATGGATGGTTTGAGAGGTGTTGTTGCCGCAGTTGCCGCGGTTGTGTGTGCTGTATGCATTTCTTTAGCTACCAGCTCGACCTCTTCGAAGTACAACATTATGACTATTACGAATGTCAACTTTGATGACATGCTTGGTGATCCTCGATATGAGCAATGGTTTCGTGACAACCTTCGTTGTGACCAACGAGCGTTCTGTAAGATAGTTGTGTGGCTTCGCCGTCGATTGCCAAAGTACTCCCGACGTCGTTCGGTCCACTCGTTTGAAAAAAAAGTTGCTGTCTTTCTCTATTTTTTGGGTTCTGAGGGAGGATACCGTGAAACCGCTGGTGCATTTGGTATGGCTAGGTCATGGTGTGTGACTGTGGTTCCGACTTTCGTCAATGTTGTCTCCTCTAATGCAAACAAATGGATTCATTTTCCTATGGACTCTCGTGCATGGCATCGTGTCGAACGTGGATTTTATAAAGTTCAAAGAATTCCTGGTGTTGTTGGAGCTGTTGATGGCACTCTGATTGATATACAGCGACCATTGGAGTATGATGGATTTTACAATC